AAAAAAGCTCGGACACGTCGATTTCTAATTGAAGGGGGACACCTTTCAGACTAATCAGATTTTTTGTAGTACGCACCCTCTCGGAGGGATGCGTCCGACGACCCTTATTTAGATAGGGAAAGTAGGTCGAGTGGCACCTTGTTTTAAAGGTCTTTCGAATACCTTTACATCTCTATTAAAAGAAAATTCCATGTAGTCAATGGCTTCATTTAGAGCCTAGATGCTACTGGTAGGAAGTGGGGTTGGTTTAGGAGCTTTAGAAGAAGAGGGAGGTTATCCTGGAACTTCATTCCATTATTCAGATAAATTTCCGATAGTTTTTAAGAATGTCCTCTGGGAAAATAGTGGGGTTACAATTCCTTGTCCAGATTTGTTATCTTTCCCTATTTTTCTTTTCATAAAAAAAAATTATACCAGAAACATAGCTGACAGCAACGGGTATCCTCCAAACTAATCATTTTCTATTGTTTCTCCCCCACCCTCTCAGGTCAGCCCAGCTGCGAAGCAACACCTCACCCCCGAATACCTGAAGCTGAACCCGCTGCACACCATTCCCACCCTGGAAGACGGCGACTTCGTCATCTACGACAGCCACGCCATCATCGCCTACTTGGCAGACAAGTATGCAGACGGAGGCGCCCTCTATCCCAAAGACGTTGAAAAGAGGGCAATCATCAACCAAAGGATGTACTTCGACTGCGGGACGCTGTTCCCGAAGTTCATCGAGGTCATCCGGGCGTTCTTTGCCGGGGCCAAGACGATCAGCAAGGACTTCATCGCTAGGATAACGGAGGGTGAGTTTTTTTGGAAAGTGGAGCCCTTAAAGACTTTTAATGAGCTCTTTGACCTGTTCAATACTCTAGACGCGCTAACTCCTCAAACCCTCGATCATATCTTATCAGAACCCCAGAATCCTGATGTGCTATATAGTCCTGCTTTTGTTAGAGTTGTGCTATTGAGCCCTACATAAACCTCAACTCAATTGTGGAGTGAACCTCATATGGCAGTATGGAAATTAGTTGTACTATTGAGCCCTACATGAACCTCAACTCAATTGTGTAGTCCTTCTGTCTGCAAGTATGGAAATGAGTTGTACTATTGAGACCTACATATGATATGCTATTGAGCCCTACATAAACATAACTAAATTGTGAAGTGAACCTCATGTTTGTTAGTATGGAAGTGAGTCGTGCTACTGAGCACTACATATGTTGCGCTATTGAGCCCTACATAAACCTTAACTCAATTGTGGAGTGAACCTCATGTCTGGAAGTATGGAAATGAGTTGTACTATTGAGCCTCACATAAACCTCAAGGTAATTGTGGAATGAATATCCTGTCTAGAAGTATGGAAATGAGTTATACTATTGAGACCTACATATGATATACTATTGAGCCCTACATAAACATAACTAAATTATGAAGTGAACCTCATGTCTGTTAATATGGAAGTGAGTCGTGCTACTGAGCTCTACAGAT